ATGTGCTGGGTTGAATCATTTTAACCCATGTGCTTGGGTTGTTCATTTGACCCAAGCTAGTGATTGAAATGAACTATACCACTGGGTTAAATATAAACCTTCCTTCCTCAATGCAACAGTTTGATCGCTTCAATTAGAAATGTTATAAAAGGAGTTTTTCTCAGGTTTGATCAGATAAATAATCAACTGGCTTCCAGACCCAGAACATTTCTAGGTTTCTGAGTCCTACTTTCCTCTTTTTCGTAGCATATAAAGAACCAGAACACTGCTTCACATCATCAAGATTGCATACAAGTGTTTTATTTGTTTACATTTTTAATAAACCGTAAATGCAAAATCCGTTCCAATTGAATGACGACTGCAGTACCTCACCTCAGCCATAGCTGCCAATGGAACATAGCCTACATCAAGCTCTGTGTTGCAATGCATGGCTTTAATACATGGATGTGTTCTCTGCATGGAACACATGGGATTTGTAATTCCCTCAGACTGGAGGAATATACGTTATTGTGGCACAGTCCTTAGTCCCTTGTGGTTAAGGTCAGTGCATCTGCTTTGATGTTTTTCAGCTGTTGGCACTTTTAGGTCACGTCTGTGTCATGTCACGTGTTCATACATGAATAGGTTTAGTGTACGAGCAGCTTAGCATGAAGAGGAGGCAGATATCGGCACTTAGCTCAGCATTAAACTCAGGGGAAATACAACCCTCTCAGGAGGCGGCTTAACTGTTTTCATGCTGCAGGGGGTTTGATTAGTTGCACTTGTGTTTGGTGATCTGATGAAGATCTAATTTACTTTCTTTTCCTGCTTACTCAGGCTGCCTCTGGGCTTAAGGGGCTTACGTTTATTATCCCAGCATGCATTGAAGAAAGGTTCATACAACAGAGACATCTTTCAGGAGTCTTTTTGAAAGAAGATATGTACAGCGGGGCAAAAAAGTATTTAGTCAGCCACCAATTGTGCAAGTTCTCCCACTTAAAAAGATGAGAGAGGCCTGTCATTTGTATGTTGATGGTGCTGTTCTGTGAGAACAGCACCATCTACAGGCCTGGCATATGCACTACAGCGTCTCCAGCGCTTTCCAACGGCAATGTCCGTGGCTGTCTCCTCCTGATTGGTGGAGTTGGCCCAATAGCGTTAGCGCCACTTCTGTGACATTCTTTAAAATTAGATAATGGCTCATTTGCATATGTAAACATACTATTTCAGAAAACTTGTAAT